GTCTTTTATAACCATGGAAAATTTGTAATCAAATGGTTTGGACTTCAGTTAACTCCTTTGCAAAGTGGGACTCTTAAACTTAAGGGTAGCAAGAATACTTTTTTTTTTTTTTTTTTGAGACTGAGTTCTGCTCTATCACCCAGGCTGGAGTACAGTGGCATGATCTCAGCACACTGCAACCTCTGCCTCCCGGGTTCAAGCAATTCTTGTGCCTCAGCCTCCCAAGTAGCTGGGACTACAGTCATGCACCACCATGCCCTGCTAATTTTTTTTTTTTTTAATTTTTAGTAGAGATGGGGTTTCACCATGTTGGCCAGGCTGGTTTTGAACCCTGACCTCAAATGATCTGCCTGCCCTGGCCTCCCAAAGTACTAGGATTACAGGCGTGAGCCATCACACCCAGCCCAAGAATACTTTTTTTTGGCTCTGGTAAAAAGAACTGTTTGGACGTTGTGTGCACCTCACTCTGTGCATACTTATTGAGTGAGTGTGCCTGTGTGTATGAGAGAGAGAGCGTGCGAGAGAGACAGAACCCAGAATTAATTGTTGGGCTTCCGTCACTGAGGCTTCAAGTATAGGGAATGTGGGGAGGTCCTCGTTCTCATGTCTTTTTCATTTTTCCTAAGGTCTAATTTCTCAATAACTTCTAGTTTCCAAGTTAAAATTAATACTTCTCAAAAGAATGTTTTCATTCAGCCAGTTGGACCTGGAGTTCTTTAAGACGCTATGGCTACCTGGCCTTTGTTGCCACTTGGGTCCTCTCAGGCCCCTTGGCCTGATGTTTGGTGAAGGAAGCAGAAGAGAATGTTCCCAGTCCTTCCGTGTTTTTATCCCGTAAACCTTCATTCAGTTTTGACCCTGTGCTTTGTGTGGTGCAGAATGATGATGTGTGCAGCAGGGGAGGAGCTGAAACGGTTTGTGTGACAAGGGACTGATGGTCTTAAAATACAAGTATTTGTTTCATTTATATAGCATTTGTTTGATACCTCCAATGTGGTCTGAATGCTTTTGATAGAGAGTAATGTCTTCAGTTGGTCACAGTAAAAGTATAGAGAGAAATTCAGTGTGTTAATGGTCCTGTGAAATCTATGAGGAAGTGAGTGTAGACAGAAGGAAGAGGGGTGACAACTGAGTCACAGGGTAGATGTCGGGGACCACAGAATCTTTTTTGAACTGCATACGATATAAGTACAACACTCCTGGGCTCTCGGTCTCATAAATATGTTGAATGTTTTAGGACTCAGTGGTCTTTGAGGATGTGGCTGTGGACTTCACCCTGGAGGAGTGGGCTTTGCTGGATTCTGCTCAGAGGGACCTGTACAGAGATGTGATGCTGGAGACCTTCCGGAACCTGGCCTCAGTAGGTAAGGATGACATCATTCCTTCCTTCACGTAGTTACTTAGAGAACAAGTATTTCTTACACATCAGACCTGTTCCAAGGCTTAGAATGTGGAAAGGGAATAAATTGGTAAATAAGACATAGTCACAGCTGTCATAGAGCTAGAATGTAATGGTTTTCCATGAGAATGAGAATCGGTATTTCAGCTTTTTCGTTTTGTAAGGAAAGCTCCCTTCATGTCGTCATTATGGATATAGCTTTGAGAGGCCTAGTGAAGTTTGTTTTTGCAAGCCAGTGAAAATTTGATTTTGTTTGTTTGTTTGTTGTTGTTTTTGAGATGGAGTCTCGCTCTATCACCCAGGCTGGAGTGCAGTGGTGCAATCTCGACTCACTGCAACCTCTGCCTCCCGGGTTCAAGCAGTTATCTGCCTCAGCCACCCAAGTAGCTGGGATTACAGGAGAGCGCCACCATGCCCAGCCAATTTTTGTATTTTTAGTAGCGACGGGGTTTCACTATGTCAGCCAGGCTGGTCTTGAACTCCTGACCTCGTGATCTGCCTGCCTTGGCCTCCCAAAGTGCTGGGATTACAGGTGTGAACCACCGCATCTGGCTGTGATTATTTTTTTAAAATAATTTTTCTATGCTTACCAATACTATGTTTATTGAGTTGCTTACCATTTTGACCATTTTGTGTTTGATGAAGTCCTGAGATACCTAAACTCCTCAGTGTCATTTTCAGCTAACAAGTGCCTTCTTATGATTTGTTGACTTTTTGATTTCAGATGATGAAACTCAATTTAAGGCCAGTGGGTCAGTTTCTCAGCAGGATATTTACGGAGAAAAAATACCCAAGGAATCTAAAATAGCTGCGTTCACCAGAAATGTTTCCTGGGCCTCTGTTTTAGGAAAAATTTGGGACAGTCTTAGCATTGAAGATCAGCCCACAAAGCAGGGGAGAAATCTCAGGTGAGTTGCACTCACAAGGGAACACAGTATTTCAGGAGAGAATCTTAGTCTGTCATTAAACTTTAAAAAAGCAAGTCAACAGAAAACTCATACAAGCCTAGCTCCAAATTTGTTTAATCCACAGAATTTTTACAAAAAATATTTCTTTAAATGTGACATAGACAGCAAGTGACATTAGAAACATAATTCAGATGGAAACCATTATCAAGAAACCCTGGGCCAGGCATGGTGGCTCACGCCTATAATCCTAGCACTTTGGGAGACTTAGGTGGGCAGATCACTTGAGGCCAGGAGTTTGAGACCAGCCTGGCGAACGTGGTGAAACCCTGTCTCTACTAAAAATACAAAAATTAGCAGGGCATGGTGCTGCAGGCCTATAATCCCAGCTGCTTGGGAGGCTGAGGCAGAATTGCATGAACCCAGGAGGCAGAGGTTGCAGTGAGTTGAGACTGTGCCACTGCACTCCAGCCTGGGTAACAGAGTGAGACTCTGTCTCAAGAAAAGAAAAGAAAAGAAAAGAAACCCTATACATAAGAAACACCATTTTAATAATGGCAGTGGTCAGACCATCTTCCAGGGCATTCAGTTTATTTCATTTTCAGACAATTCACATAGGGTGAAAAACCTATGCTTTCAGTGAAAATGGTTAAAATGCAATACTTCCTAATAAATACTAACAAATCATTATTAAGCCAATAACATGCTTCTCATTTTTAGTAGAAATCATGTGTTGGAGAGAGTCTGTGAAAGTAACGATCAATGTGGAGAAGCCTTCAGCCAGATTCCACATCTTAATCTGTACAAGAAAATTCCACCTGGAGTAAAACAGTGTGAATACAACACGTACGGAAAAGTCTTCATGCATCACCGCACATCCCTCAAGAGTCCCATCACAGTTCACACTGGACACAAACTATATCAGTGCCAGGAATGTGGGCAGGCCTACAGTTGTCGTTCACACCTAAGAATGCATGTGAGAACCCACAATGGAGAGAGACCCTATGTGTGTAAATTATGTGGGAAAACCTTTCCTCGTACTTCCTCCCTCAATCGGCACGTAAGGATTCACACTGCTGAGAAAACCTACGAATGTAAACAATGTGGGAAAGCCTTCATTGACTTCTCAAGTCTTACTAGTCATCTCAGAAGTCACACCGGAGAGAAGCCTTATAAGTGTAAGGAATGTGGGAAAGCTTTCAGTTATTCCTCAACGTTTCGAAGACACACAATAACACACACTGGCGAGAAGCCATATAAATGTCAGGAATGTGGGGAAGCCTTTAGTTATTCCTCAACTTTTCGAAGACATATGATTTCACACACTGGAGAGAAGCCACATAAATGTAAAGAATGTGGGGAAGCCTTCAGTTATTCTTCGACTTTTCGAAGACACATGATAACACACACTGGAGAGAAACCCTACGAATGCAAACAGTGTGGGAAAACCTTCATTTATCTCCAGTCCTTTCGAAGACATGAGAGGATTCACACCGGAGAGAAACCCTACGAATGCAAACAGTGTGGGAAAACCTTCATTTATCCCCAGTCCTTTCGAAGACATGAAAGGACTCATGGTGGAGAGAAACCCTATGAATGCAACCAGTGCGGGAAGGCATTCAGTCACCCCTCATCCTTTCGAGGACACATGAGAGTGCACACTGGAGAGAAACCCTATGAGTGCAAGCAATGTGGGAAAACTTTCAATTGGCCCATATCTTTACGAAAACATATGAGGACACACACTAGGGAGAAACCCTATGAATGTAAGCAGTGTGGGAAAGCCTTCAGCTTATCCGCTTGCTTTCGAGAACATGTGAGAATGCACCCTGAAGACAAATCCTATGAATGCAAGCTATGTGGGAAAGCTTTCTATTGCCACATATCCTTACAAAAACATATGAGAAGGCATACTGCAGAGAAACTCTATGAATGCAAGCAGTGTGGGAAAGCTTTCAGTTGGCCTGAACTTTTGCAACAACATGTGAGAACGCACACTGTAGAGAAGCCCTATGAATGTAAGGAATGTGGGAAGGTCTTCAAATGGCCGTCATCTTTACCAATACATATGAGACTGCACACTGGAGAGAAACCTTATCAATGTAAGCATTGTGGGAAAGCATTCAATTGTTCCTCATCCTTAAGACGACATGTGAGAATACACACTACAGAAAAACAGTATAAGTGTAATATGGAACATCCTCCTACAAATGAATTCATGTGCAATGCTTCAGAAAAGTCACACCAGGAGAGAGATCTGATCAAAGTTGTAAATATGGTGTTGCCTTTATGAGTTCCTTATCCTGAAAGTGGACACTTAAGGAGTGTGTCTGTAGTTCATTTGCAAGTAAACATTTAGGTGAAAAATAATTCTCCAGATACTCTTAGCTATTCTACATGAATTTTAACAGGTGGTTTCTTTTCTTACAATTCAGTAAATAAAACTTTCATCTTAGAGTGTTTTGGACTTATGGATGATTTGAAGTGCATTTTTAATATGCAAGTAGGTTCAAGTTTTATTTAATGTCTTAAATTGTAACTGACCTAGTGTGGCAGGTATTGGATATCACTTATCTATTATATTTTCCACCTTTCTTACTGGGAGTATTTTTATTGTTTGGCCAGAGGACCCTTATTCCATTTTCTAAGAAGTAGTTGGTAGAATTTTATAATTATGCAAAGTTGTCTAAAGAGTATAGTCTCAAATGAATTGTAATTTTTAATGTTTGCCCTTTGCTGTTTGTCTTTGCTTGTGATTGTGAATTGGACAGTAGGCTTTGACTTGTGATATGACAGAGAAATCCAGAGTTCCAGATAGTTCTGCATTGTTATGTCAATGTGGGTAATGTTAGGAACTTCATTTGCTGCAATGCATTTCCTTTATGGTTCCATGTCCAAATTTACCAATAGCAATAACTTGAATGAAATTTAGAATGAAGAAGAAGTCATTGCTGAGCTTTTGAGGTCACATTAAATGAAGACAGACAGATGCATAGGGGCTTCATGAACATCAAACTTCAGCTTATTTTCCAGATCCTTGTTCCTGCCAATTAAGAGTACCATCAAAAGAAACACTTAAGTGCTTGATTTCCACTGTGTCAGACGTGTAGTCTTCCACAGACATCTCCATGAACTTGGTATCAGGGATATGCCTGTGTGGTCAGTCACCTACAGTCTGGATTTTTCTCAAAACCCCGCATGACCTCTTGACCACTGAGTCAAACTGTCTTGTTTGGCAGTCTCTGAGCTTCTGATTCTCCTGTTCTGTAGATCTTAACATATTTGCATGGGGTCTGATTTATATAGTGAACACCTTGTTATCGTAATATTTCCAGTGGCTCTGTGATCCTGATTCCACCACAAAAGCCACAGTGTTGCAGCCAAAGAAGAAAAACAACACGGCCGGGCGCGGTGGCTCATGCCTATAATCCCAGCACTTTGGGAGGCCGAGATGGACAGATCACGAGGTCAGGAGATTGAGACCATTCTGGCTAACACGGAGAAACTTTGTCTTTACTAAAAATACAAAAAATTAGCCAGGCATGGTGGCGGGCGCCTGTAATCCCAGCTACTCGGGAGGCTGAGGTAGGAGAATGGCAGGAACCTGGGAGGTGGAGCTTGCAGTGAGCCGAGATCATGCCACTGCACTCCAGCCTGGGGCGACAGAGCAAGACTCTGTCTAAAAAAAAAAAAAAAAAAAGAGACTTTGTACTCTATTGCATTTTTAAGTGTGCCAACCCAGTCCTATGTGAGAACAAATACCTTCGTCATATATTAGATTTCAGGAGATTTCTGTTACTCAGAGCTAAATGCAGTTGCTTGATATAGATTAAATTATTAGGTTTGATTATGTGTCATTAAAAATAATGTGGATTTTGTTTCAAGGAAAACCTTCTGTAGATATTTCTTAGAAATATCCTATTTAGCTGGGCACAGTAGCTCACGCCTGTAATCCCTGCACTTTGGGAGGCTGAGGTGGACAGATCACTTGAGGTCAGGAGTTAACATGGTGAAAACCCATCTCTACTCAAAATACAAAAATTATCCAGGCATGATGGTGAGTGCCTGTAACCCCAGCTACTTGGGAGGCTGAGACAGAAGAATCGCTTGAACCCAGGAGGCGGAGGTTGCAGTGAGCCAAGATCGCACCACTACACTCCAGCCTGGGAGACAGGGAAAGACTCCATCTCACAAGCAAAAAGAGAAAAAAATATCCTATTTACTGTGCTTTCAAATTAGTTGTTTAGAGACTATAGTAATTTCCCAGGGCTGCCATAACAAAGTACAGAAACTGGGTGACATAGGAAAACAAACTTTTTGTTTCTCAGTTCTGGAGCCAGAACTCCAGAAACAAGGTATTGGCGGGAGCATGCTTTTTCTGAAGATGCTAGGGAAGGATCTGTTTCAGAACTCACCTAGCTTCTGGTAGCTCCTTAGCTTGTAGCGGCATAACTCTAATTTTCACATGGCATTCTCCCTGTGTGTGTGTCTCTCCATGTGGCAATATTTTTGTACATACACACCACTCATTGGGTTAGGCCCCACTCTACTTCAGTATGATTTTACCTTAACTAATTACGTTGGCAACAACTCTCTTGCCACATACTGAAGTACTGCGAATTAAGATTTCAACATAAAAATTTTGGGAGGCCCAGTTCAACCCATAACATTAGAAATGTTATTTTTGTTTACCGAGAGAATTACAGATTTCAAATCAACTTTATAATTTTGTTAATCATGTTACATTTTGAATCAGTATTACCAGGTATATACAAATACAGGTATTTTTTGTCATATAAATGTTATTTTTAATTGCTGTATACTGAACATTTGCCCTTAAAATTATATTTGTTTTTTTTTTTTTTTTGAGACAGAGTCTTGCTCTGTCACCCAGGCTGGAGTGCAGTGGCATGACCTTGGCTCACTGCAACCTTCATCTCCCAGATTCAAGTGATTCTCCTGCCTCAGTCTCCCGAGGAGTTGGGATTACAGGCCTGCACCACCACACCCAGCTAATTTTTATATTTTTAGTAGAGATGGGATTTTGCCATGTTGGCCAGGCTGGTCTTGAACTCCTGACCTCAGGTGATCTGCCTACGTCGTCCTCCCAAAGTGCTGGGATTACAGGTGTGAGCCACCATGCCTGGCCTAAAATGATTTGTGGTTAATAACAATTAAAAAGCGTAAATAGGCCGGGCGCAGTGGCTCAAGCCTGTAATCCCAGCACTTTGGGAGGCCGAGACGGGCGGATCACTAGGTCAGGAGATTGAGAACATCCTGGCTAACACGGTGAAACCCCGTCTCTACTAAAAAATACAAAAAAACTAGTCGAACAAGGTGGCGGGCGCCTGTAGTCCCAGCTACTCGGGAGGCTGAGGCAGGAGAATGGCGTAAACCCGGGAGGCGGAGCTTGCAGTGAGCTGAGATCCAGCCACTGCAGTCCAGCCTGGGCAACAGAGCCAGACTCCGTCTCAAAAAAAAAAAAAAAGGCGTAAATAATGATTTTGTCAATGCCCTATACCCAGAAACCACCAGGATCACACTGGTAGTCAAAATTCGCTGTGTTGAGTTGAAGTTTGAACACATAATCAAGAAAGGGCTGTGGCTTGTATCAGTCAGAGGGTGTTTAAAAGGATTTACTATCAGATTTGGCCTTGTGTTCTGTGATTTTGGTGAGTGTTCAGGGAAGCCACGCTTTGGTCTGGATTGGATGTTCTCAGAGAATGAATACAATTCTCTGGGAACCCCCAAAGTTCTCATCTATAAAGCAGAAGTTAATTGGAGCTGAAAACTGATCAGTAAAGCAGCAGCACCCAGTCATATTGGGGAGAAGAGGGGAATGTTTGATCATTTCTGTGGTTTAGAGGTGAGTTCCAGAACAAAAGAAGACATGTTTGACATCCTCAAACGAGAAAATTTTTCATGTGTTTTATAGGCCAAGGAGGCAGAAACTTTTGTTTTAACGAGCCAGAAAGCCCCAAAAGCCTATTTTAAGTTTTCTCAGGTATGGTTTCAGCCTCTGAACTTCCAGAATTAACTAGGGAAGAGGAAAAACACGTAACTCCTTAGAGTTTCATTAAAGAGCAAGCAATAACCAATAATCTCCATTACTTTCCATGTTAACATAAGTTTTCATAGCGCTCTATAGATTAATGTGATTTGGCAGTCACTTGTATATCTTAACACCCCCTTACCCATCATTCCCTCTTAGATGAAGAAAGTTAAGTGCCAGGAACACAGAGTCTTGTATATTCATGTAGCTCATGATGATGGAATCAAGTTTGAAGGCTTAACCTGTGCTTAACCTATATTGGGCACTGTCAAAACTTAAATTTAGAACACTAGAAAGCAAGTATAATTAATTTTACAAATAGGGCATCAAATTTTACAAAAAGACTCCTAAGTCTATATGGTATTCTTTTATAAGACATGGAAAAGGCAAAGATAAAGGAAATGAACAAATTGGTTAGAAGTGGGGGATTTGAGTACAAATGGGCATAAGAGTATTCTATCATGACTGTAGTGGTGAAAAGCATTTATGAAAAGTCATAAGGCTATCCTTAAAATAGCAAATTTTGCTGTATGTACATTTTAAACAATAAAAATGCTTTCAGTATGTTAACTCAAGACCAGGCACAGTGGCTCATACCTATAATCCCAGCACTTTGGGAAGCTGAGGTGGGAGAATTGCTTGTGGCCAGGAGGTTAAGGCTGCAGTGAACTATGATCACGCCCTGCACTCTACACTGGGCAACAGAGCAAGACCCTGTCTCAAAAAAAAAAAGGAATTCAAACCTTTCCTGAAACTTGATATATAAGTTCGCAATAAGACTTCCCTAGCTGGGCGTGGTGAATCATGCCTGTAATCTCAACATTTTGGGAGACTGAAGCAAGAGGATCACTTGAGGTCAGGAGTTAGAGACCAGTCTGGGCAACATAGCAAGACTTCCAACTCTACAAAAACTAAAAAGTGACCCAGGTGGGGTAGTGCATGTCTGGTCCCAGCTACTTGGCAGGCTGAAGCGGATCACTTGAGGCCTGGAGGAGCCATGATCATGCAAATGCACTCCAGCTTGAGCGACAGAGCAAGACTGTCTCAAAAAAAAAAACAGACTTCCCCCACCATCGTGGAATTCTCTGGAGGAAATGTAGGGCTGGATGACAAGGACTTGTGCCTTGTCAGACCCCGTTTGAAACCCAGTCTGAAGTTTCGGAACACCCACAACGGCCATACCTGACTTCATCTCACACACATAACAGGAAAGAAGAGGGAGGTCTTCCAGAATCTGTCGTTGAGTTTACATCAGGTTCCTCCCATTGGGAGCATCCTGATCCTGTCTTCAGACAAGGGGCATCCACATCTTGTCTTCCAGGGCCTTTCTTGAGGCCCCTTCCAGCTCCAAAGTTCTCATCTCAAGCTCAGTTCTGTGTCTTCATGCTGCGAAATGTCTTTACGGATCCCCAAACTCCTCTTGCTGTTGGGAACACGTGGCAGTTGCGCGATGTGAGGTGAGATAGAAGAGGCAGTGGCAGAACCCATGCCATGGAGACACGCCCATCAGCCACAGCAGCTCCTGCTACTGCATAAATCCACAGGCACAATCACACACCTCACAGTGTCAACATCTCCCGTGACATCATAAAGATGCCCAGCTGGGAACCACATACAGCGATGGGGCGATGGGGTTTCACGTACAGGCGGGCAAACAGGCACTCCTCCTCACTGTCCCAGTCACCTGACATGCCTTCTCTGCACACTCAGGTCGTGACGCCCCACGAAGTGCCCATCGCGCCCCAAGCTCCTTACCTCCCCACACTCCGGGACGTGCCTTACTAACGCCTCACCAGAGCGCATGTGCCCTTCTCAGGCGCAGCCCCACGGCGCACAGCGCCAGCTTATTGGCCTGCGGGAAGTGGGTTCCGAAGAGAAGCCCCTCAGTTTCTGGAAGCCCCGCCCTGCAGATTGTTCCCAGGATGCAACACGGGCTCGCGTCTAAAAGAGCTGTGCTTTGTTGGGACTACCTGGGAGTTTCCGCCTTTGACGAAGTGCGCAGGCGCACTTAGGCGAGGGGGGGGGTGACTGTAAGAAGAGGAGGTATCAAGAACGGTACTGGCAGTGGCGGAAGCTCTCCTCTTGCCCTATTCAGCTTCCGGTGTGGTGGGTCCCGGATGTTGAGTGTCTGTGGCGGGTAGACAGCCCGAGCTCCAGAGGCCTCCGTCTTGTAATGGCGGATGTACTTGAGGGGACGCGACAGACGGGGAAGGACCCTGATGGTCCGAGGTAACTTTCACAGCAAGTAGAAGGCACTGCTGTGAATATGGTGGCATCAGAGGTGACTGCAAAAAAGGGCAGCCGAGCGAGGAAGAGATACCAGTGATGTCCTAACTGAGCTCCCTGGGTCTGGTAGTGAGGAGGCTTTCTTAGAATTTGAGCGGCGTCAGGGGCTACAACGTCATGACTCTTGTCCTGTGGTGGACTCGGGCTCCCTGTTCTCAGGTTCTTATGTAGACAGTGAGGGCTCAGGAAGGCTCCCACCACCATCACCATCACTCCACCAAAACGGCTGAAGGACCTTCCTTTAGGGTTGGGGGGATCTCCTCCTTCCACAAGGGATGGCTGTGAAGACAACTCATTCTCTGACTTTCAGATGGATGTGGCCCTCTGATGAGATGTGTGCACACCTCACCGAATGCATATGTCTGTTGAGCCTGGACATTAAGTATTTACTGATGTTCTTCTGTGTAACAGGTGATGTCCTAGGTGCTGCAGTGAACAGAAGAGACCAAATATCCTTGTTCCCTTGAAGCTAATGTAGGGGCCAATAAAAACAAAACAAAACAAGGGATGCAAGTCAAGTGCACTTTGTATGGACAGTGGTAAGAAGAAAAACAAAGATGGGGATGAAGGGTGCAGAGGGCCTGTACTGTGTGTCTGTTACTACCTCTGGGACTCTATCTCTTGAGTGTGCTTGGGTATGTCCACCTGTTTTTCCTAGTGACAAAGTCTGGGTGATTCTGTGGGGACATATATTGGTGTGTCTGGGAGGTCCCATGTGTCTCAGTAGTGGTCCTTGTTTTCAGGAAGGAGTGTCTGTGAATGTCCATGTGTCTCACTGCACGGTTGTGATTTTTCTGTGTCTGTGTTTTCCAGTCTTTGTGTGATGAAATACAAAGGCCTAGCAGGCTTAGAGTTATTAATGAATTGTACTTAAGCATTTAGAGGCATATATTTATCGTACTATTAAATTCTTCCAATATATAGTTTTAAAAAAAAAAAAAAAGCTTCACAGTTTTTTTAGTAAGGTTGAGTGAATTTTTTTCAGGGAGTGGGAGACAAGTCTCGATCCATTGCCCAGGCTACAGTGCAATGGTGCAGTCTCAGCTCATTGCAACCTCTGTCTCCCGTGTTCAAGCAATTCTTGTGTCTTAGCCTCCCAAGTAGCTGGGATTACAGGTGTGTGCCACCACGCCCAGCTAATTTTTTGTATTTTTAGTAGAGATGGAGTTTCACTGTGTTGGCCAGGCTGGTCTCAAACTCCTGATCTCAAGTGATCCTCCACCCACCTCAGCCTCCCAAAGTGCTGGTATTACAGGCATGAGCCACTGCGCCCAGCCTCAAGTTGATTTTTTAAAGTTTGGCATTCATTGTTTATTTAAAAAACAACAATTGGGCAGGGATCAGAGGCTCACACCTGTAATTCCAGCACTTTGAAATGTCGAGGCAGCTGGATTCCTTGAGCTCAGAAGTTCAAGACCAGGCTGGGCAACTTGGAGATACTGCATCTCTGCAAAATATATGAAAATTAGCCAGGTGTGGTGAGGCTCACCTGTAGTCCCAGCTAATCAGGAGACTGAAGCTGGAGGATAGCTTGGACCCAGGAGGTCGAGGCTGCAATAAGCTGTGATCGTGCCACTGCACTCCAACCTGGAAATAAGAGCAAGACCCTATCTTAAGCAATCAAAAAAATCCTATCTGAAGCAGACAAAAACAGTCATATTTTATATTAAAATATATATGAAATGAGTAGAATTATTAACAGGAACCCTGTTTTCTAAATGGTGACCCTTTAAACACTGATTCTTATGGAAGTGGCCAGTACTTTTTGTAAATCATAAAACATGTTTTCTTCAATTTGGTGTGTAAATAAATATCAGAGTTTGCACTTCCATTGGTTCTTAAATAGGAGAATATTTTCAGAAATGGAAGCGAATAAAATGCATCAGGAGTTTTGACCCAATTCCCTAGTGATTGATGGAGGCCAGCCAATCCTCAGTTGCACCTCAGAACCTGCCATTAAATTTAAAATAGAAGATCAGAAACTAAACTTCTAAATTGACAGTGGTCCGACTTTCTCTACCACCTTCTCAGAGGACTCATCTCTACTGTCACTTTTAATTCTATTCAAGCTGTCAGAGCCTTTAGGCAACCTGTTTCATTACCCACGTCTCAGGCCACACCAATATCCTTAGTTTTGATTAACACTCATTATAGCTTTCTAGTTTCTGAAGCCTCATCGGTAAACTTTCTAGGTAGAGATTTGCTACATAAATTGAATGCCATCTTACAATGTAATGGGAAAGGTGTTTTTATCCCCTTGACCTCAGACCAAACCTCACACTTTCTGTTTTCCCTGATTGAGATGCGTCCTCTGAAGAGGATGCAACCTCAAGTGATATTCCAATTACTTCCAGTTACTGACATTCCAATTAGTCTCTGGGCCTCATATGCAAATGAAGTTGCATTGCTACAGAGCACAGAGACTGTGCACATTGCCTGGAAAAGGAATAAGCCTTTTCAACCAATAGCTCAATGCCCTCTTGTGTCAATATGCAGAACAAGGAACTGAATCTATACTAGACTCTGTTACAGCAGAGTGCCCATTAACTTTACCTTCTCCCACTATTAACACCCTAGTCTTGCCAGTAAAAATAAGAAGGGAAGTTTGATTTTGATAAGAACCAAATTTACCAATTTTACAAATTCTAATAGCCACAATTCTTGTAGTGCCTCACCACTCTACAGTTCCCATTACAACCACTATTTGTACCCCGGTTCCTGCTTATGCAGGCTGGTTTGCTTGAATGGAGCTCTGCTCCGCTGTCTTTTCCATTCTTTTGCACGCTGATTCACAGTTCCTCTGTGCAGTTCGCTTTCGAGGACAGTGGGCATGGCCTGCATACCTCAGGAATATTGTTTCTCCCCCATCAATATTTTCCCAAGTCCTTAAGGCTTGCTCAGACTTGTAACTTTTATCCAAGGCTCTACTCTTGTTCAGTATACTGATAATCTCTTTGTACCCAAGCTAAGCAAGGTGGTCTTATGGATTTCCTCGTTCTCCTAGAGGCACGAACTGAATTAGGTCATAAAGCCTCGCAATCTAAATTTCAGTGGGTGCAGAAAGTTACTACTTAGGATGTGAGATATCTCAGGGCACCCAAAGCTCAGCCAGAATGCCTTGAATCAATTTTTTTTTTTTTTTTTTTGAGAAGGAGTCTTGCTCTGTCGCCCAGGCTGGAGTGCAGTGGCCGGATCTCAGCTCACTGCAAGCTCCGCCTCCCGGGTTCACGCCATTCTCCTGCCTCAGCCTCCCGAGTAGCTGGGACTACAGGCGCCCGCCACCTCGCCCGGCTAGTTTTTTGTATTTTTTAGTAGAGACGGAGTTTCACTGGGTTAGCCAGGATGGTCTCGATCTCCTGACCTCATGATCCGCCCGTCTCGGCCTCCCAAAGTGCTGGGATTACAGGCTTGAGCCACCGCGCCCGGCCAGCATTTTTTATGTGTGCCCTTCTGTTTGGTGGTTGGCCTTTGAATGGTAGTACCAGCCCCCACCCACCCAAATGGGTCTGGATTTCATGCCACACCCACCAAAAGGACAGAAAAAATCCCTAGGCAAGAGTATTGTGTGGAGATCTGGGGAGGTGGGAGCTGGTCCAGGTGGCTTGAAGGAAGCTGAAACAGTGCATTGGTGAGTTTGGCCTCTGTAGCGGCTCAAGGCTGGGGCAGGGGTTTTGTGAGGCTTGACCTTCTCACCTGCTGGAACCACAGGGTGAGTGGTACCCATGGATCTTCTTTTTTTTTTTTTTTTGAGACGGAGTCTCGCTCTGTTGCCCAGGCTGGAGTGCAGTGGCCGGATCTCAGGTCACTGCAAGCTCCGCCTCCCGGGTTCACGCCATTCCCCTGCCTCAGCCTCCTGAGTAGCTGGGACTGCAGGTGCCCGCCACCTCGCCCATCTAGTTTTTGTATTTTTAGTAGAGACGGGGTTTCACCGTGTTGGCCAAGCTGTTCTCGATCTCCTGACCTCGTGATCCGCCTGCCTCGGCCTCCCAAAGTGCTGGGATTACAGGTGTGAGCCACTGCGCCCGGCCACATGGACATTCTTATCCAGTTGCATGATGGGTGGGCAGGGAAAGGGCTGTAGGTCTGTCAGTGGTCAAACATCAAAAATCAAAGTAGCCTCTTGACTACATTTCACCCCCTCCCCCGCCCCGGAATTTGCTCAGTGACTGAAATTCACCATGTGTCATGTACTTGAATTTTAATTTGGCCAAGTACAAATTTTAAAAAGCCCATTTGCCCACAGGAGCAGGGGGGACACGATAGGATAGACATTGGAAATTGAAAGCAAAAAAAAAAAATAGCGGGCGTGTGGCCCGATCAGCTACGGAGGTGAGGGGAATGCGAACCGGAGGGGTTGCAGTGAGCGATCGCCACTGCACTCCAGCCTGGGCGAGGGACTCTCAAAAAAAAAAAAAAAGAAAGCAGGTGGCCAGCACTGTAACCCCCAGCACTTTGGGAGACTGAGGCAGGCAGATCACCCGAGGTCAGGAGTTTGAGACCAGCCTGGCCAATATGGTGAAACATCGTCTCTACTAAAAATACAAAAATTACCCAGGCGTGGTCGTGGGCGCCTGTAATCCCAGCTACTTGGGAGGCTGAGGCAGGAGAATCACTTGAACTCAGGAGGCGGGGGTTGCAGTGAGCCAAGATCGCACCACTGCACTCCAGCCTGGGGGACAGAGTGAGACTGTCTCAAAAAATAAAATAGGCAGGGTACAGTGGCTCACGCCTGTAATCCTAGCACTTTGGGAGGCCAAGGCAGTTGGAACACGAGGTCAGGAGATCAAGACCATCCTGGCCAACATGGTGAAACCCCGTCTCTACTGAAAAATACAAAAATTAGCCAGGCGTGGCCGGGCATGGTGGCGGGCGCCTGTAGTCCCAGCTACTTGGGAGGCTGAGGCAGGAGAATGGTGTGAACCTGGGAGGCGGAGGCTGCAGTGAGCTAAGATCATGCCACTGCATTCCAGCCTGGGCAACAGAGCAAGAGACTCCATCTCAAAAAAAAAAAAAAAAAAAAAAAAATTAGCTGGGCATGTTGGCGCACACCTGTAATCCCAGCTACTTGGGAGGCTTAGGCAGGCGAATCACTTGAACCCGGGAAGCAGAGGTTACAGTGAGCCGAGATTGTGTCACTGCACTCTAGCCTGGGTGACAAAGCAAGACTCCATGTCAAATAATCATCATAATAAAATAATAATAAAATAAAAAATAAAAAGTGGATCTTGAAAGAGTATTCAGCCGGGCGCGGTGGCTCAAGCCTGTAATCCCAGCACTTTGGGAGGCCGAGACGGGCGGATCACGAGGTCAGGAGATCGAGACCATCCTGGCTGACACGGTGAAACCCCATCTCTACTAAAAAATACGAAAACTTAGCCAGGCGAGGTGGCGGGCGCCTGTAGTCCCAGCTACTCGGGAGGCTGAGGCAGGAGAATGGCATAAACCCGGGAGGTGGAGCTTGCAGTGAGCTGAGATCCGGCCACTGCACTCCAGCCTGGGCGACAGAGCGAGACTCCGTCTCAAAAAAAAAAAAAAAAAAAGAGTATTCAGATGCAGTTGTCTCGGGGCGTTGGAGTTCCATGGCATCTTTTCAAATATTTCAGTAACGTTTTAGACCATTGTCTTATTTATTGTTGTTGGGGGAAAGGCTTATGGGGTGCCTGTGTAAACCAGCCATAAAAATATGGGACAATAAGTTGTGGAAAGCCACAAGAGGCCTCTGAGGAGGAAAGCCTTCTTATCGCCATTATGTTCCCATGCTCAGAGCGAGACCCGCTCTCTTATCCATAAACACTGTGTTCAAGGAGAAAGACACTCCTTTGAAGCGCTGGAATGTGGACAGACGTGCAGGCTCCTAGTTAAGCTGCTCCCACTAGCTACTCTCCGAAGGACAGCACAAAGGAGATTAATTTAAACCACCACTGCTATAGATTACGC